AGTACATTAATCGTTTAAAGATTAATCGGGGAAGCTTTGCGAGTAATACACTTTTCTGTGAAGAATACTGTCCCTGTATAGTACAATTTTATCTCATCAACAGCAAGGCCGATTGCACAAAATGTGTAACAACTCCGAAAAAACCTGTTTGAATGCCTCAATAGGTGCCAGATTTGTCTGCGTTATTCAACATGAAAATTTTGCTTAATTTTCAGGATCAGTTCCTTAGTCATTTTAGTTCATTTTCGCGTTGCAGTAAGCAACTAACTCAGCCTCCTTCATCAAGTCAAAGGAGAACTATGGTTTTTTCGATTTCATAACAACTTATTATGTAAAACTCCAATCTAACTTTCATAAGCAAACACAAGAAAGACGTTGAGGTGTGTCATTTGAGCGTTCGGATTCTCTCTAAACATGTCACTAATGATGCGATAACAGTCCCAGTCTTGTTGCATCAAGAAAATGGTTTCAAGTGAGTTTGAGCACAACAACACTATGCAGAAAATATCGGTAATTTGCATCCTTTATCAACAGACTCATCCACCTTCGTCTTCAAATGACATGTCCAGGTACAACGATTAAAGTGTTATGCCACGAAAATAAACTACACTCAATTTCTCGAATTCCCTTGTGTTACTATTCACGTGATGATATCTTCAATGCACGTCACCTTATATTGTGGTTAGGAAAGTGCTTTTGAGGAATAGAAGGAGCTTCCTGAACTACGTCAGCACGAACATTTGATTGGATTCCACACAGTCTTATTATTGTCACAACTTTCTATTGTTCATTATCGTTAATGATAGTATTGCGACCAACTGCCCACGTTAAAGCCTCTCTCCTACCACATCCGTTCCCACTCAATAACACCGGAGTTCACAACACGTACCCCACCGGTGCTCATGGACTGATTATAGCTGAGCGAATGAATTGAAATAATCGAGGATTATGTCGCCAGTCTACAAGAGATCTGATTTCACCTTGTTGACAATATCCATTCGGATTCTAAGCTTTTTCTTACAGTGGAGTTTCTTACATAGCACAAAGTTCACACTCCCATGCAACAGTGTTGGGGCGACAAACCATAGACATGCACTCCATTCATCCTTCCATCTGTCTCGGTGAAGGCTCACATACATTTTATGCCAGTTTTAAAAGAGCAGTCAACAATAGTCCACTCAAACACTTCTGCATAGTGTGAACAGTTTGCTTAGATGTACTCCGCTTCGCATTGTCAGTGCAATATACTCCATCTGTTGAAATTAGTTCATGCGTTGTGTTGAATAGTGGTAGCTTAATAATTATATACTGCACAAATATTCCATAATATTAAAGACTGGTGAATTTCGTTGATGTGCTCTCTATAACACCATTTCAGATGATTGAGAGGCTTACTAGTGATGGTAGAATGCTGCCGATTAGTTTCCCTTTGAATCAGCTAATCGTTCATGAGTTTGTGAACACAAAGTAATAATTCATTCAGCTGTTCAGTAGTGCTGTTTGGGTTTGTCGTTCTCTAGCAAGTGTCAGTTCATGATATTTAATGCATTTGTCAGAAATAGATCGAATCATATATTTTTATAGTGGATAGGAAAGGAAAGGTTGACATTATTTCACTTTATTCAATATCATGAATGCAAGGAGACTTTGGTACTTTACTGGAACAGAAATAATTGTGAACCTCTATCTGATTACAGATTCACTATCAGTTATCTCTGTAGAGATGTTTGTACCAGGACAGAAATCTCTGTGGATTTCAAATCACACAAGTGAATGTAGAGGTTTTACGTGTAGCAGACCAATTGTGGGGATTCTGATGCTGTGTTTGTAGGCGAATCTTCATGACAGGTCGATTTAAAAGTAAAGTTGAATAAACAACATCTAATGGTACTTCCGTAGACGTCTGCATATTTCAAGATACCGGGAAATAAGTTGATAGAAGAGGGATACTAGTTCGATTTTGATAGTATCAAGCTTTTACGGAAAACTTTTCGTTCACACAAAAGATTGACTGCAGAAAGCCCACTTATATGAGGAATTCCTAATACTTCAACAGGCGTGACGGTGTGACTTCAAATGATACATGTTAAGTCATGACTAATAAATAAAATGCAAATGTATCACTACTTTCTTATTCCTAGCGTATTTCCCTGGATCATACAAATAGCTTCTAATGATATCCAATTGTTCTCCCAAGCACATATTATTGTATATAGCGTACATATTACTCAGTTATGATCTGAACGCAAGAACCTCGATATCTATGTTTAACTCTAAGGCCATCAAGACTTCATCGAAACACGCGCTATCATGAAACTTACCCAACTCAGGAAAAACATTATCATTCTTTGATATTTTAGAGAATCTATTGAAAAATGATAACACCACACTTGAATTTACGTCAACAGTGTCGTGAGACAGCTGTAAAGGCAATTCATAGATTAGTTAACCAACCTTTAGTTGTAGAAAGTAACTTTGAACTAAGAGCAATGTTCTCAACGGAATGGGTCTGTCCACATACCAACGGTTTACGTAAACAGTCACGAGTCAGAATGATGTTCATTCCCTCAGCCGCATACTGTCAGACATGGTTGTGATCACTGCTTACTTGTCGTGTCCGTCTCCACTTCCAAGTCACCTCCTGAATATTTTCTAACCGATTCGCACCTATCCTTGTTTTCATCCACCAGTGAACGTCGATGACGCAGAGAAGATCTTTGGTGAGTCTAACAATCTGATATCTGATAACGTCATCATGATTTTGTGTTGTGAATTCTGCATGTCAAATTTTTATTAAGAATACTGTGAAAAGCATATGTTAACAGGCGACGATTAATTTTTGTTATTTTCAGGGGTCAAAAATATCTACCCCAGTAAATGCATTACTCCAGGTGAGAAGGACGAAAACTTTTCCACTTTTCACTTTCATCCATACTCTATAGACTAATGAGTGATATCAGAGATCGGAAATGCTGAATGCCTTTCGTGAAATCTGACCTGTGATAATTAGTTGGACAATATGTGTGAGTTGAAAGACAGATGCTCGTATGTGCAACAGACTGCTGACGTGAGACGGAAAATGCGAATCGGAACGTGTGTGAGCATCGTTGTTTTCATATAGTCTGGCATGCTTTTTATAATATTTTTTTCTTTGCTGATGAGTTTTTTGTACATCCACAACATAAAAGTGGAATACTTCTGATATTGATTTAACCTTCTCGGTTTAGGTGTCTGAGTATTTGATATTTATTTTTGTCTGACATTTTGGTGTTACCAGTTCTTGTGAAATTTCGCGAGTTTTTATGTGAAATTCCTTTTATTGTTTCCTACATATTCAATGTATTTTTTATCTCTAAAAACATATTTTTATTTTCATTCGATTTGATTATTCATATTCTGCTGACTTTTACTTAATCTATATCGGTTTATTCAGGTGCAGTTTAGAAATATTTTTCGCTGATCTTTGCTTTCAAGATGTGATTCTTCCAGTGTTTTTCATCTTGACGAGTGACAGCATGACTATTTTGTTTCATTACGCAAAAACTTTATAGGGATATTTCCCATTTAACTTTAAATATGTAATGTCAATTTCTATAATCTCAAATTTTATTATTTATGTCATAGCTAAATAATAAATAAAAATGTTGCACAATTAATCTTTTTATTTCATCTTCATGCACCAGTCTTTCTGTCACTGAACGGTATCTACCGGAAGACCCTCTTAACGGATCAATTTTCACACTGAATACTGTCCACATTTTATCAGTTGTCAATCCGTCATTCGATTGTATATGACAAACACTTTTAGTGGACAGCACACAGGGCAATCTAACTGGGATCCTCTGTGTTCACTTGTTGATTGTGATGTGAACTGTCGACTAGACAGAGCTTTTTTGATGCCAAACAACAGATATCCATCTGCAATTAACAAATATTTCTATCAGAATTTGTCGAGGGCCTTTCTCGTTCCCAGAAATCTCTGTGCACACACAGACAACGAGCCTATATTTGTGACCTGATTTTTGGTGACTTATTTGAGTAAGAAGGCGATCTTGTGTTCGAATTTGCACGAATTTTACTCATTTGATTCGGTCAACGTTTACAGAAAACTATAAGTGAGAAAGATATTATCTCGCTCTTTGAAACTATCTCCTGAACATTGAAAGTCATAGGCGAACACAAGAAAGACGTTGAAGTTTGTCATTTGAAGCGTTGAAATTCTCACTGAACATGTCACTAATGATGCAAAGGCGGTTCCCTTCTTGTTGCATCAAGAAAATGGTTTGAAGCGAAGTTGAGTAAAACAATGCTGTGCAGAAAATATCGATGACTGGCATCCTACGTTCGTAGGCTCATCCATCATCGTCTTCGAAAGAAACGAGGAAGCACAACGAACGAAGTTTTATGCCACGGAAAATCAACTACACTCAATTTCCCGGTTTGCCTTGTATAACTATTCACTCGAGAATTTCTTTACTGCACGTCACCTCATAGTGCGGTTAGGAAGGTGCTTTAGAGGGAGAGAAGGAGATTTCTGAACGACGTCATCACCAAAATTTTGTTGTACTCCACCTCATAGGTTCCCATTCAATTACACTGCATTTCCAAACACGTACCACACCGAGGCTCATGAACTGATTATGGTTGAGCGTATTCATTGAAATGATTGAGAAGCATAATGTCAATCTACAACAGACCCAAATTATACTTTCAAACAAATTCATTACTTTTGGTGCCTTATTTAGTTCTTTCATAGCACAAAGTTCACACTCCCATGCAACAGTGTTAGGGAGAAAAATCATGGATATGCCTTCCATTCATCCTTCCGTCTGGCTTTGTGTATAGATACACACATCTTTATCTGCTGACTTTTACGCTACTTCTATAAGAACAAGCAGTAATAATCCACTCAAAGACTTCTGCGTAGTGTCAACCGTTTGATGAGATGTACTCCGGTTCACTCTGTCAGTGCAATATACTCTGCCTGTGGACATACATTCCTTGGTGACCTTGGCGGCCTGCTTAAATCTTGGGCTACCAATTACCTTAAACATTACAAATCATATTGCATCTAATTTCTCATTTCTAATTGATATTTTAATCAATAAATCTTATTCAAATATGACCTCAAATCGGATTATTTATTCTCGTGAATATCTAATATCTTTAAAACCTACTGATCTGCAACTCCATAAAAAAGACAAGAAAAAGCATCATGCCGGCTGGCAGAGAGCATTAAAAAATACCCCTATTCAATTCATGACTGTTCCCGCAATAATGAGTACCAATTGTCGCTCCCTGCCGGCTAAAATTAACTGTCTTCAATCGCTGGTGTCTTCCATTATATATCATAATACTGGGATCATATCACTTCAAGAAACATGGCTTCATGATCTATATGATGACAATCTAGTGTATCTAAATAATTTCAAACTATTCAGACAAGATCGATGTAGTTCCAGGAAGAAACGCGGTGGCGGTGTCGCCATCTTCATCAACTCACAATGGTGTACGTCTAATAATGTATGTTTCAAATTCTCTAGTGACAATATTGACTGTCTCACCGTTAAGTGTCGACCTAAACATTTGTCAAAATACAACTACATTTACATCTCGAACATGTATATTGCTCCTGGATGCAACTCCACAGAATTATCTTTATTTGCGGATGAATTTACTTCCCTTGCTGCCACCTCCTTCGGAAATTCCTTGTCTATAGTTACTGGTGATTTTAATTCTAGTGACCACAGCTTCCTAATTTCACTTGGACACGATAATATTGTCAACTTCCCGACTAGAATGGACAACACTCTTGACCTTGTTTTCACAAACGATGCAGGAATATTTGAAGCTCGAAAGAGAGCCCCACTACTAAATTCAGATCACTGTATCATAAGAATATTGCCCAAAGTATATGGAAAGCAGCACAAAAGAGTCTTCTCACACCTTGGAAAGAAAACACAACACAGATGTTATTCCCATGACAATATACTGAACCTAAGGTCCATGTTAAAAGACACAAACTGGGATCTATTTACTGAACAAGCTCTTGATAACACAATTGCCAACATAACACATTATCTTAATTTCTGTCTTGATGTTTGTTGTCCAAAAGAGACAATCTTCTTAAAATTCGATCGCTTCTCCTCTACTCAACTCAAAAAGCTCCGCCGTGAAAAAGAAAGGTTGTTCAAAATGAAAAACAAATCTGGTGTTAAGAGAATGAACACTTTGATTAAGCTTGAATTACAAAGATTGAATGCTCTCTATAACCAGAAGTTTCTTTCATGTAAATCCCCATCAAATATGTGGAAGTTATTAAAGGAAATCACAGGTGGTAAGCAAATGTTGAATGATATTTCTGTAGATGTTAATACGCTTAATGAATCCTTCATATGTATTCCAGCAAATGTTATGATTCCTAACTCAAATAGTGTAAACAATGACTGCTTCTCATGCTTAAACACGAATGATGTCCTCAAGTGTCTTCAATCTCTCAAGCCTACTCAGTCCCTCGGTCCTGATGGTGTTCCTGCTGTTATCCTTAAGAGTGTGCCGACATCTTGTGTTCCCCGCTAACTGACATTTTCAACGAATCGTTTTCCAAAAGTATTATACCTGAATCATGGAAAAACATCAAGATCGTTCCAGTGCCTAAATCTACAAGTGGACCAAATGTTAAGTTTAGACCCATTTCAATTACCTCACCCTTTTTGAAAGTTATGGAAAGACTTATTTTACTTAATCTTGATCCCTCTTTAAAACCTTTCAACGACCCCAACCAGTTTGCTTATAAACATAGTAGGAGTACGTTAGATGCCGCTGTCGTCCTCCACCATAGCATAGTCTCTAGTTTAGATAAAGGGGCTAAATACGTTCGCTGTGCCTTCCTTGATTACACATCTGCATTTGACTCTGTTCCCAGGTCTCTCTTGCTAAGTAAGCTTGCTGCAACACAGGCTGAAAGCTGGACAAATAAGTGGTTGCATTCCTATTTTTCTGAAAGGAAGCAGTACACCGTCTACAATGGAAAATCCTCCACTACCTCACTTACTTTAGCTGGTGTTCCTCAAGGTGCTGTTCTTTCTCCCTTTCTGTTCTCGTTTTTCTTACATGACTTGCCTCATTCTGATGTAGCCACTTTTGTTAAATATGCCGATGACCTCTCGGTTTCTATGCCTGTCAACTCTCAGTCAGATTGTTCCAAATTAAATAGCTTTTTGTCGGAAATTAGTCAGTGGTCCTCTTCAAACGGACTTAAGCTTAATCCGTCTAAATGTCAGGTAGTCAATTTCAGTTTCAGACGTAAATGTGACCTACAGCAACTAGTTAGCTCACATGGCCCCACTCTCATTGACGGCACAGAGGTTGAAAATACATCTTATGTCAAGTACCTTGGGCTGAGTTTTTCCACCGATCTTTCCTGGTCTTCCCACATCTTGCTAGTTACTAGAAAGATGTTTCGCTTAACGTTCTACATTAGGAAATTTAGGCAGTCTGGCATAAACCAGTCTTTACTTTCTCAGTTTGTAAATTCTTGTATTCTACCCATCCTCCTTTACTGCTCCCCATTAGTCTTTCCTGGACTACTTAAGAAAGACTTTGCTTCGCTGAGAAGAGCACTGAAAGCTGTTAGTAGGGCAAGTGGGATATCGTTAAACCAACTGGTGAACACTATTGTAGATAGACATATTATATCATGTAAGAAACTAGCAAATACAATATTGTCGGACCCCAAGCATCCTCTCTATACACATCTATCTCCTTGCATTTCATCTGGTAGAACTAGAAGCAGCTATAGGCGGCTATATGCTAGGACTACCAAATACAAAAAGTCCACAATACCATATCTGGCACAGCTGTTATGTGATGAGAAATCCGTTAGGTATGACACGATAAACTTACTGCGGCACTCTAACAAATAGTCCCATTAGTTTTTGTTTTCCTTTCCTCGTTACTACTACACTGTTGTTCTCATTTACTACCACACATCAACTTTATATTTCAAATCCTGTGTTGCATTGTTTGAAATGAAATACTCTACGTTGTTTTTTTCTTAATTTCTAATATTTATTTATTTTATTTATTTATAACTTATTTATTTTATTTTTATTTATTTATCTTTGATTTTTAAAAATCTTATATAATTTATGAGGTAATTAGATGCAATATACTGTAATGCACGCTGAAAATTCCATACCTGTACCACAAATACTGTTTGGAATAAAGCTATTATTAATATTATTGTTTCCTGCGTTGTGTTGAATCGTGGAAGCTGAGGAATAATTTACTGGACAAATATTCCATAATATTAAAGACTGATAAATTTCGTTAATTTCTCTCGACGACACCATTTCAGATGATTGAGAGACTGACTAGTGATGGTAGAATGCTGTCGATTAGTTTGTTGGTGAATCAGCTGATCGTTTATGAGTTTGAGAATACAAAGTAATAATTCACGGAACTGTTCAGTAATGCTGCTTGATTTTCGCTGTTCTGTAACTAGTGTCAGGTCATGATAGTTTATGCATTCGTCAGTAATAAAGCGAATCATTCCTTTTTTATACTGAGTAGTTATTAAGGAAAGGTTGACGTTATTTCACTTTATTCAATATCATGTCTGCAGCGAGATTTTAGAACTTCTCTGTTGACACAAATAATTGTGAACTTTCATCTTATTGCAGATGCATTTTCAGTTATCTCTGTAGAGATGTTTGTAACAGGACAGAAATCTCTGTGCATTTCTAAGCACACAAGTCCATGTAGAGGAGTGACGTGTAGCAAACAAACTGTGGTGATGCTGACACTGTGTATGCAGGCGAATCTTCATGACAAGTAGATGTTAAACTAAAACAGAATAAACAACGTGTAAAGGTTGTTCTGTAGACATCTGCAGATTTCACGAGACTGGGAAACAAGTAGATAGAAACGAGACACGACATCGAATTCGATAGGCTTAAGCTTCCACAGAAAGCTTTAGGTTCATACAACAAAATGTTGACTGCAGAAGCCCTACGTTTACGAGGAAAATCTAAAAGCTTCAACCGGCGTGACGGTGTGGCATCAAATGATGCATGATCAGTTCTGGCCAATAAATAAAAGGCATATGTATCACTACTTTCCTATTCCTAGTGTATTATTGTCGATTACACAAATATCTTCTAATAACATCCAATTGTTCTCCCAAGCACATATTATTGTATATAGCCTACATATTACTCAGTTGTGATCTGAGCGCAAGAACTTCGATATCTAGCTTTGTGTAGCTTTGTTTCTTTCTTCTGCTTACGCCAGTAAATATGCTGGAAACTACTTTTCTAGCACCTTCAAACACTGTTTAATTTTGGCTTTGCTACCGATATGCTAATATGTTGTTGTCAAAACTAACTGAGATTACCCATAAACTATGTAGATTTTTATTTTTTATTGTTAATTTACGAACTGGATGCAATACTGAAGTAAAATGCTGACAACTCTCTTCTGTATCGCAAGTACTGTTTTGGAATAAAGCTATTATCGTTATCATTATTATTATTATTATCTATGTTTTACTCTATGGCCAACAAGACTTCATCGAGACACGCGCTACCACGAAACTTTCCAAACTCACGGAAAACATGATCGTTCTTTCGTATTTCAGCGGTTCCATTCAACAATTATAATATCACACTCGAATTTACGTCAACAGTGTCGTGAGACAGCTGTACAGGCGATTCAGACTTCTAAGTACAATGAAGTTCTGTAACAAGAGACTAGTTAACTAAAGTTCATCTGTAGAAGGTCACTTTCAACCAAGAGGAATATTCTCAACGGAATGGATCTGTTCACACACCACCGCTTCATGCAGTTATTCCCGAGTAACAATGATCTTCTTTCACTCAGACAAACTCATATCGTTGAACTGCACATCATCAGTGTACACGCAACCACACAGAGAAGTATTAAAATTAACGACTGATGAAGAACGATGGCGAATTGTCAAGGTCGAAATCAAAATATGATATACAAATATCAAATCAGTGATACACGGTCTAGGAGTGAAACGCGTTCTAATTGCGGAGTTAGCCGTCACGTTTGAATAAGTTTAAATATTACAAATAGATCATACAGAAGGGAGTATCCGAACAATTTTCCCAATACACAATGATATTTTTTTTTCATATTCTGTTATCCAAGACCATCAACTTTTGTCGCACATAATCCCTAAAGTCTGTTTAAACTGTTTTATACTGTTTACAGTTTGTAGACTAATATTGCGTCTGTGGTCAAATTTGATCATATTTCACGCAACTTCGTTGTACATCTAGTCCTCACTCGGCGTGCAGTTGGTGTAAAATTGTTCCGCATCCCTGATGACAGCTCACGTGTTAGGCAATTAAAATTTTACAAACTTAAGTATACTATTCATGTCTCAACGGATGTCGTTTTATTATGAGTTCTCTTGGTTTAGCAGAACATACTTAATCATGCAAACTGTTTTCTGGATGTAACCAATAATCTGTTCAGCCCTGAATATTGACAGCTGGCCAGTATTCTAGTTATAGTTATTGAGATTAGAATATGAGCATTGGGACACTGGTGAGAAAACATCATGGTTGAAGAATCAAGTAAAACTGATTATCTTGTGAGAATACCGCTGGTATTTTACAATGTGCGCCTAATTCATGAGACCAAGTTGTTTTACTATTTCTTTGAATCGTTGAATGATGGTAGTCTTTAGGTTTATACAGAAATACTTCTCCGTCAGATTCACCAGACTACCATTTCTTATTTCTAAACCACTTTCAACAGTCCGAATCACGTTTTAAGGTAAGCATTCTCTATGTTGACTGGAAAGTATGGATAGAAGACCGAGTTGAAGGGAATCCAGTATCTTTCGAAATTATGCTGACCGAATAAGGCATCACTGAAAGCCTTCTAGCTAAATCTTCAGAGATAATCGTTTCCGTGCAAGCACTTTTGAATGAATGAAAGTGAGAACTAAGATCAAACTAGATATCTCAGAGCTGTGTGCATTCGAACAAGATACCTGTGAGTTACAAATTCGGCACTTTAACTATGGAGTGTAATCTCAAGCTCAAGTGCCACCATAAGACAATAATCCACCTATTCAAATACTATTGAATACGAGACATAACATTCGCTAATTTTAAAATTGATTATAAGCCAAGGGAAAATAATTTTTTAAACAGCATCCATACTTCTCGACTATATTACGTAAGACAAACGTTTCATCAATAATTATGTTTCCACTCATTGAAATTCCCCTTACGAGCAATAATGAAAAGAACACGTAGATCAGCGAAGAGTCTCTTCTCGGCGAATTCATTTTCTTAGCTGTACAACTGCAAATAGATATGTGTTATTTTGTACGTATCTGAACACTAAGTTCGTGAAACAAAATTACAATTGGTTAGGGTTATTTTAACTAGACAGGTGAAGATTGGTAATACAAGTCAAGAAAATTAGGTTCTAATGAAATTAGGGTAGTAACAAAGGTGATGAGTTGTCACAAACACTTTTTAAAAGAAGTTATGCAATAATCTGAATAGTTTGGTGAGTCAGTTTTACTCAGGTTCCACATAGGAACAAAGTAGATAATACGAAATTACGTAAGAGTTCTAAATAAATACAAGAAGTATCAGCAATTAAAGAACAGGCGAAGAAACAAACTTAAGGCATCGAAATCGCAAAAATCAAATCAAAAATAGTTGTTACGATGACAGTAGGAGTGGTTGAGTAATCCTCTTTTGTCTGCACAGCTCTGGTTTTCCCATGTGAATGGTCAGAGATTCAGCGATACAAAGAAGACGAAACCGTATTGCCTTTGACAGGTTATTCTGAACTCTTTAGATTGCTTTGAAAGAGGCGTTTGTCGAAATGGAATGATCAGTGTTAACCAGGTGTTCAATTATCGCACTCCTTATTGCACCACCATTGCCTTTCCGCAACCATGCTGGAAAGTGTTCTTGAATCCTCTTGGGCAAGGTGCGCGCCGGACGACCGATGTACCTGGCTCCACAGTAGCAGGTGGACTGATATATGCACCTAGAAGTGGTCAGATGCGGGATCTTGTCCTTGAGGCTTCTGCAGATCCGTAGGCGACTGGAGAACACTATTCCTAGCGTTACTGCAAAGAATGTTCTTCTCAGGGATGATGTGATCCTTCTCTTCAGAATATCGCTTGCTAAATCTCCCTTGAAATCCAAGTTCACGTAGATTTATTTAGGCGCAATTTAAGTTTCGTTCCTCCGAATTCTCGGTTTGATATTTTTGTCAATGAATCTTAGTGGGTATCCAGTTTGGATGAAGATTTCTCTTAGAATGTATAATTCTGTTTCCAGAACGTCGGGACTATGAATGCGTTGGATGCAGGTGGCAAGTGATTTAATTGAATTCCGCACTTGTTGAATGTGTATCCAGCTATGGAAGCTTGTTAGTTGATCCTTCCACCTCCTTAGTCTTCCATCAATTCTTGGTGTTATTTCCACATAAGAAACGGAATTCGTGATTGATATTGCAGTAAGATGTCCTTTGGGTTCACTACTATCAGATTTCTTCGTGGCAAGCCTCGACAGAGGTTCACTAAAGCCGAACGTTGATAATTTGCGACTGTATAAAATATACGTAGACGACATATTCATTATTTGTGACAAAAACAATGACCTGAATCTACAGCTGAAGACATTTAACTGTTGCCATAAAGCAATAAAATTCACTCCGGAAGTGGAAAACGAATCACAAATTCCGTTTCTTGATGTGGAAATAACAAGGAGAACTGATGGGAGACTGGAGTACCCCTATACCAACTGCAAACATGCTTTGTAATCTAATTTGTATGCTTGTATTATATGTTTACTAAGACCGATTTTATATGCACTTCGAAAACATTTGTCAATTTACTTTTGAACATTACCTTGACACAACTTTAAAATTTAACTATTGGTATAATACACGTTCGTACTCCTCCTCAAGTGCCTTTTGATTTACGTTCTGGACGTCGAGTGAAAACAACGTTAGGACAAAACAATAAACGAGAAGAAGTACTAGAATATACATGTATGCAAGTTTAGTCAAATAACTCACGCAATAAATTGATGAGCCCAACGATAAATTGTTCACTTCGACGAAAACTTGTTGAACCCGGCGACAACTTGTTCACCTCGACGCATCACTACACTTGCTGGATTAATAAAACTCTAAATTTCTCGAATCTATATATAAATATATAATAGATATTTCG